CTCTGTATGATGGTGTCTTTTCCCATATGGAAGCTTTTCTCAGTTTCATGAGATCCAATTTGCTAATTTTTATCCTAAGTGTCTGTGCTATTAGTTTGCTATTCAGAATGTTGTCTCTGTGCCAGTGAGTTCAAGGCTATTCCCCACTTTCTCTTTTATCAGATTCAGAGTATCTGGCCTTATGTTGAGTCTTTCATCCACTTGTACTTCAGTTTTGTACACAGTAATAAGTATGGATATATTTGTATTCTTATACATGTTTTCATTCAGTTTGATCAGCACCATTTTTTGCAGATGCTGCCTTGTTTCCCAAGTGTGATTCTGGGTTCTTTATAAAAAAATCATCATCCATAATGGATCTTCAGTTTAATTCCATTGATCAATGTGTCTGTTTTCTTACCAATACCATGCTATTTTTATTATTACAGTTCTGTAGTACAATTTGAGGTAAGGATGGTGATACCTCCAGGAGTTCTATAATTACTCAGGATTTTGCTTTTATATATCCTGAATTCTTTTGTGCTTCCACATTTAGTTGAAAATTGTTTTTTTTTAATTTCTGTGAAGAATTATGTACAAATTTTGATGGGACCTGTGCTGAATCTATAGATTGCTTTTGATAGGAAGGGCATTTTCACTATAATAATTCTACCAACTCACGAGCATAGTGTTGTTTCACAGGTTATGACAGTGGTGGGAAGGAAAGTTATACCATACAGCAGAACTTATATGGAAGGTTTATTGGGGACGATCAGGAAAGGCAGAGACTGGCCTCTGGAGTTGGGAGCCACAGGAGAAAAAAGAGAGCAACAGACATAGGAGGGGGCTACTTTTTTTATAAGAGAGTACTCCAAGTGGCTGCAGTTGAGTACAGCGTAATTCTTGAATTTTAACACATGGGAGCTCTTTCTAATATGTAATTCCTCTTAAATGTCACAAAGGTTTTATTATATAAGTTTCTCACTTGTTTGATTAGAACTATCCTTTTTTGATATATTTTAAAAGGTATTGTTTTCCTGACATCTTTGTTAGTTTGTAGTTTTTATATGGTAAGGTTACTGATTTTGTTGAGACATTTTTTATCTCCTTTCCTTACAGAATATGTAATGTCAACTAGAAGTTTCCTGGTGGATTTCGTAGGGTGTTTGTGTGTGCAATCATATCATCTTAAGTTGTCATCAATAAAAATACTTTGAGTTCATCCTTTCCTGTTTGGATCCCCATGATACTGTTCAGTTGTCTTATTTATTGCTCTAGACAAGATATCAAGTAATGTATTGAATAGATATGGAGAGACTGGACAACCTCATCTTGTTACTGATTTTAGTCATAAAACTTTGAGTTTCTCCATGTAGGTGGATGTTATCAGTTTTCACTAAATTATTGTTATTATGATGATATATGTCCCTTGTGTGACTAATATCTCTAGAACTTTTATAATGAAGGGGTACTAGATATTTTCAAAGCACTATTCTATATCTACTGAGATGAGCATGTGGTTTTTTGTCTTTCTATTTATTTGTGTGGCAGATCATGTTCATCACTTTTTTTGTATGTCCAATACCATGTTTGCATCTCTTGGATAAAACCTTCTTGATCATGGTGAATATTTTTGGTTTTCTTGGATTCAGTTTGTAAGTATTTTTTCCTTGTTTTTCATCTTTTCAAAAGGGAAACTATTCTGCAATTCCTTTTGTGGGGGTGTCTTTGTGTAGTTTAGATAGCAGAGTAATTGAGGCCTCATTCAAAAGAAAGAGTGTATTTCTTCTGTTTCTGTGTTGCAGAATAATTTGAAGAGTACAGTTGTTAATCACCTTCGAAAATCTGTGAGAATTCTGCCAACTCAGTTCATCTTGTACTGAGTTTTGTTTTGGGGTGGGGCTTGGGAGACTTTAATTACTGTTTCTAATTCATGAGTGGTTATAGATCTATTAAATTGCTAGTCTGATTTAATGCTTAGTAATTTAACTTTGGAAAGTCATATATATCAAGAATCCCATTTATCTTTTACGTTTTCTCATTTGGTAGAGTACAGATTTTGAAAGTTCTTAAAATTTTCTGAATTTCTTTGGTATCTCTTGTGATATCCATCTTTTCATCTCTAATTTTATTGGTTTGCATCTTCTTCCTCTATAATTTTGTTTTTCAAGTTTCTGTTTTATTAATTTCACTCAGTAATTTATTATTTTCTTGTTATCTAGTCTTTGAGTATTAGTTCTTCTGTTCAAGAGCTTTCAGATGTGTTGATAAATTGTTACTAAGAGTTTTCACCAACTCTTATATAGTCATTTAATGGTCTGAACTTGCCTATGAGAACCATCTTAACCATTTCCCAAAGGTCTGAGTTTTGATTTTCATTCAATTCTAAAAAAAGTTTTAGTTTCTTTCTTAATTTCTGCGTGGATATGTTTTATTCATTTAGTACTGAGTTCAGTTTCCTTGAGTACATAAACGTTCTGTTCTTGTTTATATCCTGCTTAAATCCCTGTTCGTAAGGATGTAGGGTCTTGTATCTGTTGAGTCTTGCATTGCGTCCGTGAGCTGCTGAGGGGAAACTATATACTTCTGTTTATATGAATTACTTTATGGGATTTATTCATATCATGCTTAAGGTCCTTGTACATATTTATAGTTACTATTTTCAAGTCTTAGTCTTGTTCTTAAGTTGTATTGCATTACTTGTGTCCTATTGTACTAGAATTACTGGGTTCTTACTGTGTCATATTGTTTTAGTTATTCATGTTTTTCTTGATATCTGGTATGTCCTTCATTTCATGGATGTTCCGTTCTTTGGTTTCCGTTGCTCTATTTGAATATTATCAAAGTATGGTGGCTGTGGGTTTGCTTGTAGAAAGTGCTTCTGCATGCCAGTGGGTGAGAGAGAGGAATAAAGATAGCATAGGAGAAAGAAGGCTCAGAGAGGCTAAGGAAAAGACCTAATGGTATCTGGTCCATATTGGAGATGTCTGAGGAAAGGCTACTACAAGTGTACAGCAGTAGCATACCGAGTATGTCTTGAGAGAAAGGAATGAAAGAGCTAGGAAGACCCTAGGTCTGTAAAGAAGAGTTAATTGAGTTGACACGGGAGAAGGGACACCTGCAATGAGTCTTGCTACAGGGTTCATATGAAAATAGAGAGATGGTAATGGAGGAGAGGAAGGATAATGAAAATGACCAGCTCATTTCCAGCTCTGTTTGGCCACTAGGGGCCCCTGATAACAAAAAAGTATTTTCAGGTTTTAGAGGTATATATAAGGGAGTGGAGGTGGACTAGAAGAAAGGGCTGCTGAAAGTATTCTAAGGAAAAAATTAATCTGTGCCTGCACCTAGAGTTGGAGTCCCCAGGGAATCACTATACTAATCTTAGGGATTCTGGCAAAGTTAATGAAATTTGTTCATAAAAAAAAACATAACAATTGGCCAGGCAGTGCTGGTATATTCCTTTAATCCCAGCACTCCACAGAAAGGCAGATGATTATCTATGAGTTCCAGGCAAGCCTGAAATAAAGAGTGAGTTCCAGGAGACCCAGGACTTCGCAGAGAAAACCTTTCTGGAGAAACAAACCAAAAAAAAGAACAATGGTTTTATACTAAAAAATGGCATGCGTATTCCCAAGTACATGTGGATACAAATAATTCTCCAAATAAGCAATAAAGGGAGATGGAAGAGTTCTTTCTCATAGTAGAATTCCAAATAATATGTTTAAAAACAAAATGAAAAATTTGCTTATTAACACACATCACTATGATTGTCACAGATAAGATGAAATAATGAATATTAACATTGGTGAAATTGAATGAAACCAATGTCTACTCAAAAAAAGTTGCTAATTAAAATTAGAAATAGTATCATTGTAATTCAGAAGCGTCAATAAAACTATGTCAACCAAATGATCAAGTTCACATTTGAGGCAATGAGTTTTTTGTCTATCAACGCACACACACACACACACACCGAAACACACACACACACACACACACACACACACACACACACACACACACACACACTCCAGAAAAGGAAAGGACAAAGAAACCAATGAAGATTGATGTTGCAGTAATTATATATATAAAAAAAACATTCTGTCAAACAGGTGGTGGTAGTGGTGCACACCTTTAATCCCAGCACTCGGGAGAGCCAGGCTGATATCTGTGAGTTTGAGGCCAGTCTGTTCTACAAGAGCTAGTTCCAGGACAGGCTCCAAAGCTACAGATAAACCCTGTCACGAAAAACCAAAAAAAGATTCTGTCCTTTTGGCTAGATTGATATAATTTCTGAGGAATCAGGAGACAAAGTGCACAAAGTAAAATGCAGGTTTACCCCTATGAGTTCAAAGTTCAATTTTCTAAACAGATACAGTGTTTTTATCCCTTCTCATAAAGATATCTATCTCACTGATGTACCAGTATAAGTGACTGTGTTGGGGATTATCAGAGAGGCACGACTAATGAGTAATGCTGTAATATGTATGTGGTTTGTCCCCCACAGTACTTTATTCAGGAAACTGTCATCTCAGCACTACAATGCTAACATCATAGGGCCTTTAAAGAAATGTAACAAGTCAGGGACTGAAAACAACTTATTTTAACTCCAGCTTCAGGAGAGCCAACACTCTTCTGTGGATATTGCTCTCATTTGTGAATACCCTCCCCAACACACAGATGCACATATAATTAAAATTAAAATTAGAACTTAAGGAAAGAAATGGGACTAATGAAAAGTGTTTAGAGAATTATGGGTACTACTCTCAGTAAAGTGCACTATTCTCCTAGTATGAGTTCTCAAGAGAGCAAACTGCTAAGAAAGCCTGAGTTTGACTCTCATCTGTTACTGCTCTTTTATTCTCTCTGTCTCTCTTTCTCTCTCTCTCTCTCTCTCTCTCTCTCTCTCTCTCTCTCTCTCTCTCGTCTCCAATTTTCCGTTGCTTTCACTCTCTCACTCTTAAGCTTACAGTTTGAGATTATATTCTTTGGTTCCAAGGAATTTACTATGTGACCACAGGAAATGATGTAACAATGCTTTGAGGGTTCTTACTACAACCAAGCATATGCTGGTACCATGTACTTGAAACTTCAGTACTGTGAGTAAAACAAATTTTCTCATAAGACTACTGCTTCAGGCATAACAACAAAATCTATACAGATGATATCTATCTATATATATAGATATCGATATAGATAGATAGATGATAGATCAATAGATAGATAGAGAGATAGATATCAGAGGAACTTGTCATATAATTATGGAGCCTAAGAAATTCCACAATTGACCATATGAAAGCTAGAGACAATTGAATACTAATAACATGGTTGTTGAAACCTAAAGCTTGGAGCAATTAAGATCAGTAATGTAATACTCAGTTCCAAGCTCTAAGCCTAAAAACCTGGTAGGGAAGTACTAGAGTACAAAGGCCAGAGAACCCAGAGTTCTGACAGTAACAGAAAGTAAAAGGCTTTTCCAGCTCTGTGGCAGTTATCGGGGTGAGGGGAGGAGAGAATTTTCCTATTCTTGTTTTATCTGGTCTCCTTGACCCATTGAATATTGTTTACATTGAGACAACATTTTCCCCTCAGTAAACTAACTCAAATGCTAAGTTTCTCTGGAACCATTGCCATAGAAACACCCAGAAAATTTACTACACTAGTCAAATGGACTCCTAAAATTAAATCACAATGGTCTAACAATATTTAATTCACATATAAATTTGATTTAATATTTGCTGGTTTCACTAAATATTTCTCTGTCCTAGATTATAAATGATAAATAGGTGGAAATACTGATACATTTACTTTTCCTACTATAAAAACACATCTCAAAATCATTTGCACATGATAAATTCAAGTATAGGAGAGTTTTGTTTACAGGTGGACTTTAATAAACTGAAATTGCTCTACCTTCATTTATGTTTCTTCACACATAGATATGATTTATATGTAATATTATGAGTGGATTATTTGATAAAAAATTTAATCAAATCATGAATATACAATTTAAATTGCTAATTATTGTTCTTCAAATTCCAAGGTTTAGCTTTAGAATTGATATATGAATCTTCCTTTTTAATCATTTGAATTCTATCTCCACATTTTCTAGCTTAAAGATTGCAAACTCAACAAACTCTTAACATCTAGACTTTCTGTCAGTAACATCTCTTAGTGAATTTTTCTTTGATTTAACAATGATTTATGGAAGGTTCACAGATCCTGATAGAAGTTGCCATAGCAGGAGACATATATGCTTGAGACTATATTATATTTGAGTCATTCAAGCAACTTGCTCACTAGACTTTTCTAATTATAGTTTACTGCCTTTTGATATTTTCTACAGGGAAAGAATGTGCTGGTGTGGTGAACTGACTCTTAGGTTGACAGATGTTTTCACATGGTAAATTAACAGGTCAGTGTTCAGGATTACTCTGAAACATCCTGGGAATTTCATTACATGGACTAACATCTCTAAATCTGATGGCAGAGAAACAGGGAAAATATTGAGTTCCTAGACCTGGATCATGATAAATACCTTAAAGAAATTCCACTGGGTGATAGCCTTTTGCAGGCTATTACTATTAGTGATGCATGTATATATCAGAATGTCATTTATAATTTTTTAGGTTTCTGTATAATAAACATAGTTAAGAAATAATAGGTGACTTGATTTTAATCTTATGTAAAATCACTACATTATTATAATAAACTGCTTCTATTTATATAATGTCACTTTGAATAAGCTTAAATTATCTTTAGTATAGCTAAAAATCAAGCATAATTGCTCTTAGGAAACCTTAGGAAGAATTTCACAAAAACTCAGTATCTAAAGGTTTATTTTTCTTTCCTTTTGACATTTTTACACTGGGTTATTCAGATAAATTTTATTGATTTAGATTTATTTATTTCATGTATATGAGTGTTTTCCCTGCATGTACAAATGTTCATCACATGCATGCTTGGCACCTGAGACACTCAGAAAAAGTTATTGTATTCCTTTTTGGAATCCAATTGGAATTGGAGTTATCCAATAAAAATGTAATCCTATTGGAACTGGAGTTACAGATGGTTGTGAACCATCACATGGGTGCTGGGAACTGATCCTATGTGCTTGCAAGAACAATAAGTGCTTTTACACACTAAGCCACATACCTAGTTTTTTAACATTTTATTTTAAGTAATAAACCAGGAATAATAAAATATCCTGAGGAAAAATAAATCCATGTTATAATTATTTGAAAAATCATTCAGGAAGTAAATCAAATGCAATTTTGATAACATTTTCCTTTTTATCCCATTATCTTGGCAAGCACAAGTGCTTGTCATAAACAGTTAACCACACTCTCAATATAGACCAACAATCCTTTGCCTATAGAGTGAAAAAAAATGGGCCATCATTCCACTATGGCCCAGTTTCTATGGCAAACTAGAGTGGCTACTGGGATTAAAGGTGTGTGCCACCACTGCCTGGTCTGTAAGGCTAGCCAGGGTGGCTGATTTAATTTCTAATCTTCAGGCAAGCCTTATTTATTAAAATACAAATGAAGTATCACTACAATTATTATCACTCTTCTTGTGATCATTATATATTTACATGTCAGCACATATGTTTGACTCTTCATTTTACTTTGTTTTGCTCTCTCACAGAAATTAAAAAATTCAGTATATATTTTCAGCAAGATCTCCAAGAATGAGTTTCAAAAAACAAATTGTTTTAGCACAATATATACATTAAGATACAATCCATTGGACAGATTCATAATGTATGCAATTTTTTAAACACTGACTCTTGTTGTAGTACAGGCTTTTTACTCTAGCATTCATGGGTAGGAATTTAGATAGACTTTTATTCATGCCTTTTCCTAAACATGAAATATTCTGGTACAGCCACAAAGATTTATAGTGCTTTGTCAAGATTATGCCTGAATGGAATTGATTTCAGCTAAGATAATCTTCTGGATTCATACACCTAGAATGGTTTTCCTCTGTATCCATTTACAATCCTTCAATGATAAACTTCTTAAAGCATTTTAGAACATAGGAAGACTTTTGTCTTTCAAGTTCTATTTTTAACACTGTGTCAGTCTGAACACAACTACAGATTTTTTTTCATTTTATGGAAACCATTCCAAAATAGCTAATTATATCTTTACTTGGAGGTGAATAAAAACCACAGAAATAGTCCACTGAATCTGTGTCACATATTGTCCAAATCACCTTCATTTCCAACGTACCACTGGCAGCAGACAGAAGAAAAATGTGAAGCAAACAAACAAAAATACTACATATTACACTGAAAAGAATTAGCTAACTAAAAAAAATAGTTTTATACAATGAGAAAAACCAGGCAAGTAAAGGGCCTTAGAGGTAGGCTATGGACATTCTGCTTCATCTAAATGTCCGTATCTGATTTTGGATTGTTGATATTTAATATGATGAAATTTGTATGTTATTATATATTTTTCATCACCTACATATTTCTTTATACCAACATACTTGCATTTTAAAGGTGCACATAAAATTAACAAGCACAATTTTTAGAATATTACCTCAAGTATCACAAGCATCAAAGAACTCTCTCTGACAAGGAACCCTCAAACCATCTCTGACTTCTGAAACATAACATCTGTTCCAATGCATGTTCCTTAGATCAATGTACTTATTTGCTAACGTGGTTTTCAAGTTCAAGAGTGAGTGAAAATATAAATACTTTGATTCACTAAAGTCTATAGATTAACAGATTTTCAACCATGTTCTGTCTCCTGGCATCAGTGATTTATTTTAACTGTCATTAATCAATATTTCTGGGTTACTAAACCCTGGACCTTGTACATACTTTCCTACACATAAAAGATACCTGTTTTTCCACAAACAAGTACATTGAAATTTTGTCTATATCAATGTCTTGTATTCTATGTAGACTTAAGATGGTGGCCCTGATTCTGAAAGAATGGCTGTGTTTGTGTTAGTCAGGATGCTCCTATCATCCTCAAAATATTTCCAGGTAGTTCAAAATCCCCATAAAAAAGTTGACTTAAACACTGAGAAATTCACAGCAAATAGTCCTTGTCCTGTGTACATATATTTGGGTACTTATAAATCTGTTCTCTTATTTCCAGATGTTTTAAAAGAAGGGAAATGAGTATAAATATCAATTTCAATTTTTCAAAAAAAATTAAAATAGTCTTACATTAGTATCATCTGATGGTGAATATATGTTTATGGCTATACTGACATAACTTAAGATATTTTATCCAAATAGTTGACTCCATAGGAACCAAAACCTTTTATTTCTTGGCTGTAGAAAATCGGAACACAGAATATAGTGGCTAATTCTAGTGTATTAACAATGTGAACATTAATCCCAATGGAAGCTCATTCTAGGAGAACTGACTCCTCTTCATTGATTAGAGAAACAGCTGCAGTGACTAAGTTCTCCTTATGTAGTTTTAGAACTTTCAAATATTTCAATAAAATAGAGTCAAAGTAAGAACTCTAAGAAAGCAAGCATCAAATGACTGTCACTGCATAAAGGCCAATTTAGATGGGCTAAGGGTCCAGGTATTTTATACAATTGCATAAGGAATATAATATATTGACACTTTTCTTCTTATATGTGTTTAACGAACTCTGTCATACTACCACAGCTTTTTAAAAATAATTAATTATTTAAAAAATTGAGAATATATATGTGTGTTCATGGGTGGATAAATGCACTTCTCTGCAGGTATTCATAGAGTTCAGAAGGAGGTGTTGTATTCCTTGCAGGTTAACTGCCTGAGTTGAGTCCTAGGAATTGAACTGGGGATATCTGTAGGACCCACAAGTGTTCTTAACCACTGAGCCATTTCTACAGACCCAACAGTCTTATTTTTATAATAAAAAATATATGGAAATATATAGCACAAGATAATTAGCTTTTCTGTTAAGAACAGGATTAAATCTATTATGGCAAGAAAAAAATTAGCTTGACATATACTGAGTAGTTTGTTGTGATCTTACTTCTTAAACAGAAGCTCAGGATTCCAGAAAAAAATTGCATAAACTGCCATAAAGAAGAAATTGCTTATTGAGCATTTTGATATTTCATAGTCTGCCCAAATTACCTAACTGTGATATCCCGACATTCTAGAAGGCTGTGTCTATACAGAGGTAATTAAAGTTTCCTCCCAATATAATAATTAACCTCTCTACTATCCCCAGTAGTTGCAGCCACAATTATTTGAGTACTCAGGAAATGTTATGTTTCATGGCTAGTTAAAAATTAGCAACCTTATATGTTATTAAATGAAACTCCTACTGGTGAGATATTAGGATTTTGGGTGCATTGGAAGCTAATGTCCCGCATAGGTTTGGATAATGGAAAACATATTTCCCATCTGTTTTATATGGGTAGGTTATGAAATTTGGCCTTGAAGTATGCCACTGGAGGCAAGCTTTGAAAATTTAAAGGCTTTTATTATTTCTAGTTCACTCTTTCTGCTTTAAGGTTATGGTAAAGGATGTGAATTCACAGCATTCTTCAACAGCCACCATGCCTGTCGCTTGTTCCCATGTCTCCCCACCATAATATAACATGAGGGGGCCTGATTGTTGGGGCTTATATCCTGCCCAGTTCCCCACAGCTGGTAATCCCCAAAGAAAATCACACAAAGATCTCCACAAGTTATAAAACTGATTGGCCAATTAGCTCAGGCTACTTATTATTTCTTGTAGCTTATATTAACCCATTATTCTTATCTATGTTAGCCACATGGCTCAGGACCTTTCTGAGCAGAGCAGCTCACATGTTGCTTCTTCGGTGATCTGGGAAGAACTGTGGAGGGAGCTTCCTGCTTCCCAGAATACTCCTGTTCTCATTGCTCCACTTCTACTTCCTGTCTGGTTGATCCACCTATACTTCCTGCCTGGCCAATCAACATTTATTTAAAAACATGATTGACAGAATACAGACAATTCTCTCACACCACTATAATGTGTACTTATCCCTCTGGGATCACAATGGTTATTCCTTCTATAAGTTGCCTTGGTCACGATATTTTATCACAACAATAGAAAAGTAATACAAAGCTATTACTCGAGGAGGCTAATGAGGTCCCCTCAAACAATATTATCACTGTTTTTGGTTACCCACTTTAACTACATGATTAGTCTGTATTGTTAATGACTCCTCATGCGGTGGTTGCAGGACACCAAAAAATCAAGCAGAAAATAAATGGGAAGCTTCTAATAGTTTGTCTAACTCTTATACTACAAAAAAAGTATTTTAAGGACTTCCAGGGAACAAAATTAATCTACAATATTACCAGTTGTGCACCCTGTGTACTGAAAACCAAATTTCTCTATAGGGCAACAACATGATCAGTCCATATACTTTGCTCATGAGTGGGCTCATTTAGTGGATCCAAGATT